AATGCAATTCTACACAGCTGCACACTTAGGAATGCTTGGGAAACTGAGATCTAAGATAAAAGCTAAAACTATAAGAAAATCCAGTGTAGAAAACTTTATGTTCTGCTTGATCCTCCAACATAAGATATGTCACTTTGTTACTCTGTGTTTTGTTATGTCATACAGTTACAATTTACTTCACTCTGTTTTCCTTCAATGGTCAGACCGCAGTCAGCTTTTGCAATCACAACAATTAATGCAAATTCAATCAATTCAGTTGTATATGATGTATATATGGATATATTGTGTATATTGACATATATGGATAATAAATGTTCATCTGCAATTTTCTGCAGTGGCTTTTTTCTTCCTCTTTGGCAGTTTTGGCGGTGCCTTTGCCAGTGCAGCTGATTACGATGGCTCCACCAAATCGTCAAAAAAGGGGACATATTATGCAAAACTCACTTTTTCGTTGCTTTAGTATGTATATTTGCATATCCGGAGTGCCTCCCCACCCCTTAAGAATGATTTTCGACCACTAAGTCAATGTTTTGTAAACTTGCTGAGTCAGGGAATGTGTCTCTAGAAGAGCCATTTAGATTTCACCCGCACTGTTACGTAACAGTCCGGGTGAAATCTGAGTGATATGAATACTCCCACCCTCACGCTGGGTATCTCCTCCCATATTACGCCGGCTACCTGAACGAGGATCCACCATGACAGCCTGACCGCTACCATGTACAACCCGAAAGCCAAGCACTCCTGCTCTGTCGTCGGATGCACGGATACTCATGTTTCCCTACATCGCCTCCCTGCCAAAGAGGATATCAGAGCGAAGTGGCTAAATTTTATTTTTCAGGGAAACGTCCCAGCTTCAGTGAGCAAAAGCGTTTTTGTCTGTGCCAATCACTTCACGCCGGACTGTTTCAGCAACGAGGGTCAGTATAAGGCTGGACTGGCAACGAGATTGTTCCTAAAAGATGGATCCATACCCACTGTCCGTGGCGACGCCACAGATGAAGGAACTGTAAGTATTAAAAAAACAGTGTAGTTTGTGTTACTTTGGCTGTTTAGCACATGAGCTAACGCTAACCGTCGATGTAAATATGAGACTGAACTAACGTTACAACGTTGGGCTTACTGGCCATAGGATTCACGGTAATGTTAATGTTGCCAAACGTTAATTTGTCATATCAGCACTCTTAAAATGAATTAGGATATTGAGATTTGATGGCTTCTAACCGGCCGGTGAACCACTGCGCGGCCGTGAACATGCTAGCTGGCGCTAGCTAGCGCTAGCTGCTAGCTAGCTCACCGTCCGCGAACAATTTTTCAGTTGTTAGTGCTGCTGTTCCGACGTGATCATGCATGGGAGACCGTCTCCTCCACATGCTCACGGCCGAGCAGACTGTATGAAATGGTCTCAGTTGTTCACGGACGGTGAGCTATTGTTCCGCCGTGAACACGCAGAGAGGACGGCATGAAATGGTCTGTTATTCACGGCCAGTGAGCTACGTTAATTAATTAGCATGTTGTGCTAAAGGACAGTGTGTTAGATGCCCAGGAGCACCTTGGCAGTCGAACGACTTCCTTTGTGTTGGTATGCATGTAACTACGTGTGTAGTGTTAGCTGCTGGCATGAGAGACCCGATCTGAGAGTACCAAAACGTTATCTGCAGTAAAGCAATCACTACTTTGTTTTGGAGCCGGAGACAGGGGTTACCTGCCACATGTCTGCTGTGTTGTGCTACGATTAACGTTAGTTATATGCAGGCACGGACACAGAAAAGTTGCTTCGCAAATGTGTATTGCTCACTTACTAAATCTAATGTGAAATGAGGGATTTGCGTGGGTTTGCTCGGATTATGATTTGCCAGATTTTGCCTTATCAAATTGATTTTTTAATCATCATTTCTGTCTACATAGCTTTGTTTCATGTAACATGAGAAAACAGACACATAACATATTATCTCCTTTTGTGTTTAGCCAAGCACATCTGTACAGCAGCCTGTGGTGCATCATGTTGCCTGCCAGACAGACCAACCAGTGACATGCACAGTTGGCACACAGCTTTCCATGAGAACTCTCCAGCCTCACTTCAGAAGCACAGGTTTGTTGAACAAAAGCATATGATGTAATGTTAGTCACTATGTTACTCTAATATGTAATTTTTGTTTTACTCTGTTATGAATATGGATTGGCTAATGAAAATTCTGTTTTCATCTATCAAAGGCACACAGAAATCAGTGTCCTGTGCTGATGTTGGAGTTGGCACCTCAACCATTGCCTTCTCAACTTCTCAACCATTCTTATCATCAACCCCAATAAAGAGACCACGCAAAAGGGCTCGCTTGGAACTGGAGGAGGAGGAAGAGGAGAATCCATTGGAGGGCAGTTCATCCATGGACATTCCCGACCCCAAGGATTCTTCGTATGATCCTGAGGACTCTGTCACAGTTTTGTCTGAGTCAGCAGATGTGACGTGAGTAAATAACCTCAGAATTTACTTTTTTTTTTTTTTTACATTATTTGTTTCAAGTAGTATGGGAGTTACTAATTTATCTTTGCAATTTTTGTTTTTCTACTAGACTGGAGCCTTCCTGCCCTGTTCATAAGACACCAGCATATATTGTCTATGAAAAGTGTCTGATGGAGCTGTTTGAGGTGTGCCCTGTCTGTCAGCGTGTTTTAGACATGCAGACAAGAAGGATAGGCACGTTCCTCTCTGTAGAACAGACATGCCCACATTGTCAGTTCTTCAGAAAATGGAACAGCCAGCCAATTCTGGGAAGCACACCTGCAGGAAACCTCCAGCTTTCAGCTGCAGTATACACCACAGTTGCATCTTTCTTCAAACTTGAAAAGGTAATGGATTAAGACTTCACTATGTAATTTTATTTGTTTTGCATATCATATTGCTAAATGTTGTATAGAGCAGTACTTATGACACATCTTGTCTGTCTGTCCTCAGATCTTCCGGGCAATGCAGCTGAAGATGTTTCAGTATGACACTTTTCGCCGTCATGCACGGACGTACATAGAGCCTGCCATCATACACACGTGGAAGACTGTGCAGGACGCCATGATGGAGCAGCTTAGTCAGCAGGAGAGTGTTATCCTAGGTGGCGACCTAAGGGCTGACTCACCAGGTATACAAGATTCTCTGATACATTTTACTCTAATTTTTTTGTTTAGAAAAGTGGTTACTATGAAGTACAACAAAGTGATATGTAAAATGTAATTTTTGTGAAATGATGCATTTATTTTTGAAGGGCACTCTGCCAAGTTTGGCAGTTACTCAATGATGGACCTGAGGAGCAACACTATTATTGACATACAGCTGGTTCAGGTGAGTTCAAAAGTGTGATCTGTATTCAAGTTAACTAATCTGTGTTTAACGAGTGCTTTTAAAAATCATTTTGTTTAATAGACTTTTATGTTCTGTTTTTGTGTTTTTCTGATCAGAGCAACGAAGTTGGTGGAAGTTATCACATGGAGAAAGAAGGTCTGAAGAGGAGCCTTGCTCTCTTGGAGGCACGTGGTGTTGCATTGGACAGCATTGTCACAGACCGTCACCCTCAGATCCAGAAGTTCCTGAGGGAGGCCAAAGTGACACAGTACTACGATGTCTGGCACATGGAAAAAGGTATTCGTTACTGTGTTTGTGTGTTAGACGGTGAAAATCAGGATAAAATGCCCTTGCTCACAGGTCCACACACTATATTTTCCTAGTATCATAATTACTAATGTGTTACATGGGTTAGGGTTACGTGTTTTGTTTTCAACATATACTGTTTATCTGAACGTGACTGAAATATTGTTTTATTAGGACTGTCCAAAAAACTGGTCAAGATAGCCCAGAACAAAGATTGCGCGAAGCTGAAGAAGTGGCTTCGCAGCATAAAGAACCATGTGTACTGGACAGCAGCCTCCTCTACGTCAGGGCCAGAGAGAGTGGCTAAGTGGACCTCCATTCTTAACCATGTCCAAGACATCCACACACATCAAGATCCTGCTTTCCCCCAGTGCTTGCATCCGCAGCGCACCTCGAGAGACAAGAGCAAATGGTTGACAGCAGGTAGATAGACACACAAAATTGTGTGTAAAATGTGTTTTTTTTATATATCTAAAAGATGTTTAAACCATTTGAATTCATGTGTTTTGTTTTGTTTTTTCAGGAACACCAGCTTTCTGTAGGCTAGAAAAGGCGTTGACTAATAAGAGAATTCTGAAAGATGTGGAAAAGCTCAGCCCTCACTATCAGACCTCATCGTTGGAGGCATTTCACAGCGTCATTCTGCGGTTTGCACCCAAGAATGTTGTCTTCCCCTACCTTGGAATGTTATGCAGGTGAATAAAACATCACTATCTGTTTAGTTCATTATAGTTTAGTGTGCTTGCTATGATTTTTAAAGTACTATTTTTCCACCCAAGACTCTACCTGGCTGCCCTGCATTACAATGAAAATACTGGCCGACCACAGGCAACATCTACAAGTGGAGAGCTGCTGTACAGAGTCAACTTCCCCAAATCTAAACATGGAGAATGCACCGCAAAGCCTGTGAAAGCAGAGCCAACATTCCGTAAGTTTTAAAATCTTTTATTTGAACCCAACAAATTAAAATAAACATGAACACACAAGCATAACACAAAAGGTTGAAAATAAACACAAATAAAATCTGAATTCTTTTTAGATGGTTTTCAAAATAAATAATAAATAAGGAGAATGTATAAATTAGGAGAAATAAGAAGAGACACTTTACAACACTGCAGCACAAGGCTTTTTGGTTCTAGTGCAATTTTCTTGTAAACATTAATTTTTGTTTATTGCACTGCAGACTACGTTGATGCACTGTTGGACCTGATCTTCGAGAAGGTTTTCCAGGACCCTGCCCCATATGTGAACGAGGTGCTGAAACTTACAATCCCTGAAGACCTCTCTGCTCAGTATGAAAGACCCGACAAGCTGGATGTTATAGCCAGTTACGTGTCAAGGTTCAACCAAGGACAGGTCTGAACCCAACATACTGTCCTTCTGCGTCAGGGAACTCTGCACGAATCCTTAGCACCACGCAGGCAGGCAGCACAACTCTCACTCTCCGCCCCAGAAAGCCCCAGCACCAGCTTACAAAGCTTCTGTAGGCTAGGTATCTATATTGGCTGGACACAATTCAATAGAAAGTCAGCACTGAATGTTCACATCCATGGCAACTGGCAAGTTCAACTGTTCCACTTCAGATATTTATTTTGTATGTTTACAAATGTTTCTTGCAATAAAACATCTTTACTAACTGTTCTGTGTGTTTTCATTGTTTGATATGTAGTTGTGTTACCATGTTACCAAGTAAAAAATAGTAAAGATAAACTATAAGCAATGTAAGATAGGGAAAGCAGTTATGTACTTTTCATCATAACACTTTTGCAATAAATTAATAGTATTTATAGGACTAAAAGCTTACTGCACTATTCCCCTCAGACGTAAAGGTCCATAGTCTGCCCGATAAATGTTCAGTGCATTCTGCAGTGAAAATACATTCAGGCAGACAGGTTCTAGGCCAGGATGGTCCACCATGCATGATGGTGGCTCAGGAAGCTGCTGTAGTCTTCGTGTAACCTAGAAATTATGAAAGGTAAGTGAGTGACAATGGATAACAGAAAAGAGAGACTGTAAAATGACAACCATGTTTGCCCAGTGTTCACACTTGTGGTATTTCCATACAGCAGATATTCTCGGGCTCGGTAGGCATTTGTTCACAATTGCCACAGGAACACCTGTTTTTAAACAGAATTTGTGTTATTCATTGGAAACTACATAGCTAATCAATCACGTCGCGTTGTTTCTTTTGTAATATTTATTTAAAGTTTATAAACTGTTGGAACCGGTTCAAAAACAATACTGCTGGTAGAGAGGTGATGGGAGGCAACTGGCTCATTGAAAACTACAGTTGTTGAAAATTGTGGCAGTAGCTATTTACAGGTTGTCACTGCAAATAAGAGCAGGTTCTTAACAGACTTACCTGGCTACATAAAGGTAAATTAAAATAAATAAATAATATGGGGTTATGCTTTTCTCTAGTATGGGCGAGTGCTCAATTGCATCCGCGTTACTGCAACTTAACAGCAGTAAACGCCAGCCGAGGTTTGGCGAAGATTTATGATGTAAACACTCAGGAGAAGGGGGTTGTGATCTGTAACAACATGGGAATACGGCCACTAAGCCAGTAAAACTTTCGTTAGTCTATGCAGTAACATAAAAGTAATGTCGAGGTAACAAACTTAACTACTAACCACTGAGAAACATCCATGTTCATTCTTGGCTGCTGACTTTCTTCTGGAGCGTCTTGTTGTTCAGGGTCGGACTCCGGCTCGAACATGTACGGTTGCACCGCAGTCTGTTGTCCGGCAGCCATTTCTTTCACAAACTCAGCCGTTGCCATGGTCACACGGTGCCGGCCTCACGTCTTCCACAGGCAGGAAAAGGTAGGCGGCGCACGCAGTAGCTCATTAGCATTTAAAGGGAAAGGCACTGAAACCGGCCATCTGGAGCAGGGCTGTGAAACTGGTGTTTCAAGAACCCTGCTGTGCTCAATCCTTCAGCTTTTTCGACCAAAGCACGTTACTAACGTACCATTTAGACATCAGGGAACCTTGTCAGGAAGCAGAAATGAGCATAATATATCACCTTTAACCATAATTGCAATTACAAATGGCAGAATGCTTGAAGTGCAATGCCTGCTAGAAAACAGTGTTTTCCATTATGACCCCTATCAGTGTTTTGTCGAGGGCTGGAGGTAGGACGAAATTTGGCGGAGGCAGCTGCCTCATAATTCTCTATGCGGACATTAAATAATTGCTTATTTGGTGTAATAACAATGCTTTATAGTAATTTAGGTCATGTTTCCTTAGTGTGCAAGTCCACTTTGTGACAAAGTTTATGACTTCAATGCTTTTGTATTACTGGGTTTATTAGAAAAAATGGAGGTAGTGAGGGGGAAAAATGTTTTTTTTTTTTTTTTTTTTTTAATGAATTATTAGTATTTCCTCACCTACCACACTGGAGCACACAAAGATGAAGCCAATTATGCATTGTGGAAAAAAGAAGGTTTAAACTGCAAGACTCAGACTTTCATACATTTGTCACAGGTCAGCGTACAAACAGAGACAATGGTTGTCATGGATTCTGTCATGTCTTTGTGGTCTTCAAAAAACAGAGAAACAAAATAATGTGTTGAGGTTAATGTTGTACTAAAAGCTATAAAAGGCTATAACAAAAGCTAAAACCACCAAGGCCTAGCTTTGGTGCTTCATAGCTTTTGCAAAGTAGATTATATTTATGCATGGCACCATCAGAAGCCGTCAGCTATTCGTCAGTAAGTTTTTCTGTCAGTACTTTGTGAAATCAATGTGTAAGCTGTTGTAAAAGGTAATAATAACTCTACAGATGGCAACTGTCATCTCAAGGGGTGTGTGTGTCTGTGTGTATGAGAGAGAGAGAGAGAGAGCAAGAGAGTGTGAGAAAGAGAAAGCAGATGAAATTATGTATGTCCCACATGAGTTTTGTATAAGCCAATTACCAAGTGAGTTACACAACTCTGGCAATCTTTCTCTTACCTTTGAAAACCAGCAAACAAAAGAAAATGCCTCTCACACACGGTAGTCAAGGAGAAGATGCAAGTTGGCTGTTAACATCACTTTCCATGTTTTAACCCATTGATAACACAGCAGTCAGGACACTGACCTACACATCTGCATCTATGTCAAGACATGCATGTTTGTGTGTGTTTGTATGTGTGTGTATGTGTTGCTACCCACACAGTGGATGTTAGCTCCCCCATATTGAGGGTGAGTCATCCATGGCAAGAAACAGTGGCAGCATCATTAGCATGCCGCTCTCATCCTCCCACTCCCCTACTCCTTAACAGATTTTAACTGGCACAGCGCTTCCACTGATAAATCACTGTTGCCCTACTGCTGAAACACTCCCATAATTCACAACCAAAAATATTAAGTCAAACACACACACATACTGCTGCCTTCCTATTTCCCTTCTCATACCACTTGTCCCTAAGCATAGTATAACTCATGCCACTTTCATCCACTGCACATATTACACCACCATGAGCGCACTATTGGTTCCACTCGGAAAGAAACCCCTCATGCTGGTACAGTCCAACCCTGAACACCAACAGGACACACACCAAAACCAATACTCTTGGCCTTCCTGCCCTGTATCACTCAGCTCCAGCCCATTTGTTCCTACTGAAGACATAAATCTTTAATAATAGGTCACAAATATATATACAATATATATACAATTTTTTTTTGTTTTAATCAAAGTTACTCAAACACGAGTAAATGGTGTTTTTATTGAGGGCTATGCCGTAATTCTTCATGGCATAGATTCAACATGGTGCTGGAAATATTCCTCAGAGATTTTGGTCCACTTTGACATGATAGCATCACGCAGTTACTGCAGATGTGTTGGCTACACATCCATGATGCGAACCTCCCTTTACACCACATCATCATGTTCAAGAAACCAGTTTGAGTTGAGCTTTGTGACATGGCGTGTTATCCTGCTGGAAGTAGCCATCAGAAGATGGGTACACTGTGGTCATAAAGGGATGGACACGGTCAGCAACAATACTCAGGTAGGCTGTGGTGTTTAAACCATGCTCAGTTGGTACTAAGGGGCCCAAAGTGTGCCAAGAAAATATCCCCCACACCATTACACCACCACCACCAGCCTGAACCGTTGATACAAGGCAGGATGGATCCATGCTTTCATGTTGTTTACGCCAAATTCTGACCCTACCATCTGACTGAGACAGATATTGAGACTCATTAGACCAGCCAATGTTTTTCCTCTGTTCTTCTGTTGTCCAATTTTTGGCCCATGTGAATTGTAGCCTCAGTTTCCTGTTGTTAAGTAGTTGACAGGAGTGGCACCCAGTGTGGTCTTCTGCTGCTGTAGCCCATCTGCTTCAAGGTTTGACGTGATGTTGGTTCAGAGATGGTCTTCTGCATACCTTGGTTGCAAAGAGTGGTTATTTGAGTTACTGTTGCCTTTCTATCATCTTGAACCAGTCTGGTCGTTCTCCTCTGACCTAAGGCATCAACGAGGCATTTTGGCTCACTGAAGATTTTCTCTTTTTCGGACCATCCTCTGTAAACCCTAGAGATGGTTGCGTGCGAAAATCCCAGTAGCTCAGCAGTTCCTGAAATACTTAGACCAGCCTGTCTGGCACCAACAACCATGCCACGTTCAAAGTCACTTAAATCACCTTTCTCCACAATTCTGATGCTCCATTTTAATTTCAGCAGGTCATCTTGATCATGTCTACATGCCTAAACGCATTGAGTTGTTGTCATGTGATTAGCTATTTCCATTAATGAGTAGTTGAACCGGTGTACCTAAGACAGTGGCTGATGAGTGTACATTTGATGCTCTATTGATTATTTTAAGTAGGATGGTATGTTTCAGATTGACTCATGGTAATGAAGGAACATGCCAGCTAGTGCAACAGTGAGGCCCATTGATGTGTTTTTAATAGGTCAGGGCTCAACAATAAGGATTGCCCGATTGCCCGGGGCAAGTAAAACTCACGGTCAGGCATGTAAACTAACAACTCACTTGCCCGATCGGGCAAGTTGCTAAAAATAGTAAAAGTTAATAACTAATTGATAAAATAAATGTATTTTAAAACATGCTCCTTCTGCTCTGATGCAGCGGTCTCTCTGCCTGAAGTCACAGGCACAGCTGTGTAACAATGTCCTGCCCACAGCCCCCATTAATATTATTTTGCGCGATGGACGCTTCATATAATAACATAACAATATACTATTTATGGTGTTATGCCATCGTGTCATTTCTGTCTCTACATGGTCACGCGTTAACAATTCTCCTCTGCTCTCTGTATCGCGCACGGCGGAGTTCCGCCACACACACACAGGTGAGCACGCTAGAGCAGCTCAGGCCGCATTTTCCTGACCAAACCTGACCCCGAGCCCGGTGCAGTTTGTCAGCTGACAAAGTTATTGTTATGGACACTGTGTAAATAACCACCAACAGACTGCTGTTACGCACAGACAAACACGCTGCTCGCACAGCAGCATAGCACGGCACTCATGCTGAGCTTGTGTTGCGTTCAGGCGTTGTCACGTAAATAACAACTTCCAACACTTAAATAGGTCATAGCACAAAACAGCAGCATGTCTAGTGACTTTTTACTTTATTATATTCAATACAATTGTATGTTTCTAAATCTTGAGACACCTCATATGTAAGCTAGACAGACATTTCACCTGCTCATTACTGTGCACACATGTACTGTATGTACTTAGTCCTAAAGAGCCCTTCTGGTGCCAGTAGATACATAGAAACATCCCAGCAGGCTGTGCTTTGCAAGCATACAAAAAAGTTTCACGCAAAATTATTTTTCATGCGTGTGCTTCACCTCCGCTGCTACAACTCCACCCTAGGGGAAACACTGCTGTGTGCGTTTTGTGCAACAGGTGCATGTAGTAGTCTACTGGTAGAGTAGAGAGAGAGCAGTTGAAGTAGTAGTTGAAGTAGTTGAAGTACAGTAGAGCAGGGCAGAGAGATGGAAGGAAAATACATTAAACCCGGTGTTAATACAGAAGAACTGGAGAGAGGGGTGAAAAATAAATAGAGGTGGGCATGGCTCAAGTAGAGCGCAAAATTATAGACGGAGAATGATTGACAAATTTTTCACTTTAAGCCCTGACACTGTCATTTTTGTGTAGGAATTAAGCTACAATACATGACATATGTTGTTTTAATAAATAAATACAGTATGAATAAAGATTACATAACATAAAAATAACTGCAGTCTTTGTTATTTGATAGCCGCTTAAATTAAACAATTTTTATAGGGCAAGTAAAAACTGACTTCGGGCAAGTAGATCTCTGACCAACTTGCCCGACCGGGCAAGTGAAAAAAAAACCTTAGCGTTGAACCCTGTAGGTTTTGTGTGGAGCTCTATGGCACAGAGGAGAAAGTCAGATTAAGCTTTGGCTGCAAAAGCAATACATGTTAGTCGGAAAAATTAAGAAAACAGAATACCGTCAGCAGAATCCTTTCACTTTAGAATAATTGTTGCAAGATATAAAACAATAAAGTGCAAAAAGAAGAAATAGAGCACCAGAGATGATTAAAAATCTAGTGGAAACACTTTGTTTGGTCAGACAATGTCTGTCCAAAATGACTGTCTTAGCAGTCTTTGATGTTTGTCCAAAATTTAAAATAGTTTGTAAGATGAAAATGCACAAACAAAGATTTGTATGATTGACTTAGTGCCCCAAGAATAAATGTTCTTACCGGTTAAGTCAGGCTTAGGAAAAGAAACATGGTTGGGCGTCATCAAGTTACGTACTGAACAGAAAGTTAGATTTCGGAAAGTAACGCTATGTACCACTAAAGTAATGCATTGATAAAGAAAGGCATTTGTATCGTAACTCATTTTCTTCAGCATTAATCTAACAAAACAGCTAGTGTTAAATTAGTATGAGCATCGTTTTTAAATGTTACTGTGCTAGCTGATCATCAACAGCAACATCTGTATCTGGAATTCCAGTTCCTGCATTGACAGCCCATGATGCAGGCCTGATGGCATGCAATCAATAAATGACATTTGATCCTGGCACTACAATTTCCCCATGAGGAATCAATAAAGTTTATCTTGTTCTGATGATAATCCAAAGGGCTGTGCCTTAGGGACCAGCTGAATTCCCAAACAAGTAACGGCTATGTTTCAGATGAGATGAGGATAACCTGCCTTTTGCTGAACAATACCATGTCAGGGGATGTGTGAATTCCCTCGCACTAGACTTTTAAAGACTCTTGTCACACTAGGGTATAAGAGAAATACCAGGCTTCCTTTAACAGATCACACAAATTGAAATGTTGCCAAAATCTGAAT